ATTTCATATTTTGAAGCAATCAAGACTGTTGTGATGAGTGTATGTCTGAACCTGTAATTCTTAAAAGACTTCTTAATCTTCTAGAAGAAAAATCTCTGAAGAGCTCTCTCTAGAAGTCCAGAATGGCTGGCCATTATGCTTCTTTGAAAGGACACGATAATGGGACCAGGACGGTTTTTTGGAGTACCAAGCAAGGGGAATGGAGCACTTTAAGGGCGCCTCTTAGTAACATGAATTGGAAATTTGTGTTGAGTACCTCCGGTCTAAACAGTCTAAACAGTAAAACAAGCTGCCTGGAGAGCACCTGTACCTAATGATACTGTAATGTACATTAACATTACAGCCTCTCAATTTCAGGCAGGTGTAACAGTTCCTTTCCACCAGATTTAATTATTTTTATATTTCCAGCAGGTTCTTCTTAAAAAGTAATCTATATTTTTGAACTGATATTTGTTTTATACATGAATTTTTTTTAGATGTGATAAAGCTAAACTTGGCCAAAGTGTGTGCCTGAATTATTAGACCTTTTTATTAGTCAACCTACAAAGACTAAAATAGAATATATTAGTTTGTAAGGGGGTGGGAGGGTTCCAGCATAGTATCGAATCTCAATCAGGAAAAACTATGCTTTCATGTCTGATTCTGAGATTTCTCATCATGTTGTCGAAAATGATAAATGCAGCAAATCTAGCTTTCAGTATTCCTAATTTTACCTAAGCTCATTGCTCCAGGCTTTAATTACCTAAAATAAGCTTGGGTAAAATTGAACCAACTTCAAGAATGCAGCACTTCTTAATCTTTAGCTCTTTCTTGGGAGAAGCTAGACTTTATTCATTATATTGCTATGACAACTTCACTCTTTCATAATATATAGGATAAATTGTTTACATGTTTGGACCCTCAGAATCTGTTAACCAAAATTGCAGAATGGGGGGCCAGGCGTGCGTGGTGGCTCACACCTGTGATCCCAGCACTTTGGGAAGCTGAGGTAGGAGGATCACCTGAGGTTAGGAGTTCAAGACCAGCCTGGCCATCGTGGTGAAACCCTGTCTCTACTGAAAATACAAAAATTAGCCGGGCGTGGTGACACACGCCTGTAGTCCCAACTACTCAGGAGGCTGAGGCAGGAGAATCACTTGAACCCAGGAGGCAGAGGTTGCAGTGAGCCAAGATCACACCACTGCACTCCAGCCTGGGTGACACAGTGAGACTCCGTCTCAAAAAAAAAATTTTTTGTTTTTTTGGTTTTTTTTGCAGAATGTGTCAAGACAAAATACTTTCTTAATGGCATTTGTGTTTTATGAAAAATCAGTCACATAGTGTTAGTGTCAGTGTTAAGAAAGGGTCACAGGTTTACAGGTTGCCCCCAGTGGCCATACTTTGAATTGTGATTCTCACGGGTTTAAAGATGTGATTTTTAAAAAATCAGTGTTTTACCATCTAGTTATTTGATCTTGTCCACTTTTTTGTGTTTAACAAAAGTGTAAAACTGGAAAGCAAAGAAAAAAAGACTATTTTCAGTAAACATGTAGTTTTGTTTTGTCTTTATTAATAGAATGTAATGGGCCTTTGGGATCTTAAGTACTACTTACGTTACCTTTTTTATTCAGATGCTGAACTTAAGCAGTGAAATAATAGAAACTAAAGGATGTTATTAAGGGGTTTAACTATTTTAATTCAACATTTAGCTATTCATCATTGGTTTCCTGAAGACGTCAGAATTTTTCAGTGTAAGACAACTATCAAAGGTAATCCAGTTTAAAACATAAATCCACTGTACATATTATATTGATACCATCATTTTCAGGATCTACATATGAGTATTGTGATACATAATTAATAATCTCAGGGTTTTTTCCCCCATATCTAAAATGTAGACAATACTTGTTTCTCTTTTAGTTCATCAATTTCTCTTAGCAAAATAAATTAGGTTGGGCATTTAATGTTCTATTTACCATGGCTTAGCTTTGTTTCTGTTTTAGTCATTTCCAGTAAGACTATAAAAGGGGCAGAAAAATACTGATGTATTCCTCACTATGTGCTAACAAGATTAACCAAAGATTTATATTCAATTCCTTGAAATGTTACTTTCCTTTTAAGATAGCTTATCAGGATTTGATACTATACTTGATCTTGGCCAAAAGGCCTAGGAGTTATGGTTCATGCATTTGAATATTAAAGGACAATTTGACATTTCGCTAGCATAATGTGGATGAATACTTCAGAAGTTTTTGAGCATTATCACTCCCAGGTGCGTAAACATACTACGGTAAGTACTGCCTGGAAATGCAAAGGAATTTTGGAACTCAGAGCTGATATTCGTTAACCAAGTCTTTTATGCCTTTTATATGTATTCATGTGCTTCTAATGAACCTGTCAGGTTGGTGTAAGGTAACAAACTTAGACTGGTAAGATAATGTCAACATGCCAAGATCACCCAGTGAACTTTTTAAAGTATTTAATCTTCAGCTTCAGGCAGTCTTTTAAAAACATTAGTTTATACTCTTTAAACATTTAAGTCCTGGAACTCCTCTCCAAGATAAATGTGGCTGACTGCTGAGTGTCTTCTGTGATATATCTTGGCATTTTGAAACTTCATGTTTCAGCTGGACACCGTAGCTCATGCCTGTAATCCCAGCACTTTGGGAGGCCGAGGCGGGTGGATCACCAGAGGTCAGGAGTTCAAGACCAATCTGACCAATATGGTAAAACCCTGTCTCTACTGAAAATACAAAAATTAGCCAGGTGTGGTGGCACGCATCTGTAATCCCTGCTACTTGGGAGGCTGAGGCAGGAAAATCACTTGAACCTGGGAGGCGGAGGTTGCAGTGAGCTGATAGGGCCACTGCACTTCAGCCTGAGTGACAGAGCAAGACTCCATCTCAAAAAATAAAAACTTCATGTTTCCTCTTGTAATTTATGATTCTTGAAGTAAAAACCAAGTAGCTGCTACAATTAACCCTGCCCATGTTTATACTCTTTTGGAGAGACATCAGAACATAGCAGTTAAGAGCATGGTCTCTGAAGCCAAACTGCCTGTGTTTGAATTCTGCCTGTGCCTCATAGCTATGTGACCTAACCTCCTCTGTGCCTTTGTCTCCTCATTTGTACATGGGGATTAGAAATGTATCTACCTCAAAGGGAGGTTGTGAAAATTAAAGGAGTTCATATATAGTCTGTAAAAAACTTACGAGCATGATCAGAGTGAGCACCAAATACAATTTCTGGTAATCACTCTGTTTCTTGATCACGTGTCTTGTAGTTGTCTTAGCCCTTAGCCCAATTCATTCAGCCAGCATTTATAATGGCAGACTCTCACATAAAACAAATGTAACAGTATGTAATATTAATGTGATTATAAAATACCAGGAATATACTCAGAGGAATGTTTATAGGCATTTTTTGAACACCCACTTTGGATCACAAGGTACACTGTTAAAACTGTTTTAGTTATCAGCGAATATATACAAATGTGTATGGTTACATCGATACTCTGAGTCTTGTTACCCTAATTAGTCTGGTGGATCCAATACTTTTTGGTCTGATTGCCATGCAGCATCATGATAGTGCATATCAAGTGTTTAACTGGCCTGCAAATTGTTTTAAGTGATGTCTGCTTTTGCTTCCATAATCTGTGAAATGTCAGAATAACAAAGTGTTCATGAATATTTGTTAAAACTTGTTAAAAAATCCTCATACATAACATAAAGGGCTAACACATTGATGGATTTTGAGAATGAATAACACAGAGGTTTTTTTATTTATTTTTCTGGGGTTGCCCGGGCTGGGCACAATCAGCTCACTGCAGTTTCAACCTCCTGGGCTCAATCTATGCTGCCACCTAAGCCTTTCAAATGGCTAGGACTACAGGTGCTTGCCACCATGCCTGGCTAACATTTTGTAGAGACAGGGTCTCCCTGTGTTGCCCAGGCTGGACTCAAAACCCTGAGCTCAAGCAATTGCCCTGAGCCTCCCAAAGTACTGGGATTGCAGGTATGAGTTACTGTGCCTGGCTGCCATTTAATTCTTGAGCATTTTCTTTTACATCCTAATTGTCCACTTCTAATTTTGCCACCATAGTCACATCAAGGTTAAGTGGTTTAATATCTTTGGGGATAAATAAGGTGCTGATTTTGTCTACAGCCATCAGTTTATCGTAATAGATCCAAGTTTGTCAATTTAAATCAAGCATGTTTATGATCAAAGATATGATCTATCATGCTGAATGTTCCATGTGTACTTCAGGAGATATATTCTGCTGTTTTGGGGTGGAGTGTTCTATAAATGTCAATTTAATCCAGTCAGCTTATGATTTTCAGTTCTATATTCTTACTGATTAATGTATATATACTAGTTCTAAGGAGGGATGTGTTAATCCCTAACTGTAATTGTGCATTAGTTTGTCTCTTTTCAGCTGTTTTAGCTTCATAAATTTTTGGAGCTGTTAGGTGCATATACATTTAGGATTATTTTGTCTTCTTGGTGAACTAGACCTTTTATCATTAGGAAACTGTCTGTATAACCACTCCATCTTTAATCGTGTACATGGTTTTTTTTGCCATCACTTGAATTGAGTTTCTTTATAGACAGCAGATCATCGGGTTATGTTGGTTTTTTTCCCCATGTCTCTTGTCACTGATGTGCTTAGACCATTTACATTTAGTATAATCATTGAGATGTATAGGTTTAGTTCTACCATTTTTTTTTTTGAGATAGAGTTTTGCTCTTGTTGCCTAGCCTGGAGTGCAATGGCACAATCTCAGCTCACTGAACCACCACCTCCTGTGTTCAAGTGATTCTCCTGCCTGAGCCTCCTGAGAAGCTGGGATTATAGGCATGAGCCACTGTGCCTTGCCTTTTTTTTTTCAACAGGGTCTTGCTCTGTCACCCAGTCTACTGGAGGTACAGTGGCACAGTCACGGTTCACTGCAGCCTCAATCTCCTGGGCTCAAGTGATCCTCTCACCTCAGCCTCCAGAGTAGCCCACCATCACGCCTGGCTTTTTTTTTTTTTTTTTTTGTAAGTAGAGACACATCTCACTGTTGGCCAGGCTGGTCTCGAACTCCTGAGCTCAAGCGATTGCCCACCTCAAAGTGCTGGGATTACAGGTGTGAGCCACCACACCAAACCAGATTATTTGAACATTTTTAAGTATTATATTTTCTCTATTGTAATATTGACTATCATCTCTCTGCAGGTTTTTTAGTGGTTGCTCTAGGTTGAAGCGCTTTGAATTCTTAGATATCTAAGAGTGAGCATTTTTTTTTGACTGCTATACTCTCACCAGTTGCCAGCTTCTCATATAAATATTGTAAATCCTCTCGTTTAGGTAACTCAGCTTCTGGAGTTGAGGGAACTTCAAAATCAGAAGAGCTCTGGGAATCCACATTTGTGCTAAGATTTAGCAAACTTTTTTCCTCAGGTATATGTTTCTCACTGCTTAGAGTAATTGGTTCTCCAGTACTAGGAACTGTTGTTACATCTTGAACTCTGCTTTTCAAATCAGAACAAGTATCCTTTGGGCAAATTACATTTTGTTCCATTAGAGAGGCAGGAATATTCTCTTTGATTGTTGGTCTGTAGTCACCTTTGCCCAAGGAAGTAATATCCCCACTGTTTCTCTCTTGGGAGGATAACAAAACAGTATCAGATTGGCTGTCCCAGCCTTGACTTCCTTGTTCTGTTATGTGTGTTGACTGGGAAGAATTCTGGGAGGAGATGTGAGTTGATTCTCCATCAGAGTCACTGAAAAGCTTCGGTGACTGAGATCCCCCTGCCTCTATGGAGGAAGGGAAGTTTTCCAAGTTCTCATCTGTGATTTCATCATTTCTTTTAAAGAATACTTCCCACTGGGGTACATCCCCATCAGCCTTTTGCTGGTGAAGTACAGAGCCCAGATCTCCTTGCAGTGAAGCTGGGATTCCTAATTCTTCTTCACTTTCACTGTTGGATTCTTCACAATCTACAAAGTTTGTGAAACGAGAGCTCTGCATACTCTCTGTTCTGCAGCATCCTGGAGTTTGTCTCAGTTTTTCGGGCTGCTTTTCTGATACTGCAGTCATTGAAAATACCTCAGGTTGAAGAGTTTCCTGGTATGGAAGTTTGTGCCTTAAAGGTATTGGCAGAGGATCATCAAAGAGATAGTCATCTTCTTCCTCTGTGGGACAAACAAAACAGGTTTATAGGAAACAAGGCAAAGGGAGCCAATTTGTACCTACACTTTTAATTCTTGGAATTGCAAGGAATAGGGAGGCCACTCTTCTTCAAAGGGAAAAGATATTCTTGGGATACACTGAATAATTTAATTACCATCCTTCAATTTTTTATAACGCCAGACTATCAGTGGAGAATATAGAGCAGTCACTCTGCTCTATATATAAGCCTGGCTGATCATTACAATCATATGCAAAACTTTAAAAAATAAAAACCACACAGGTTTCTGTATCTCATTCCAGACCTACTGAATCCCTAAAAGACAGGACCAAATAATTTGATTTTTGTGTTAAGTTCTACAGCTGATTTCTGTTCATCAGCCAGGTTTGCAAAGCCTGTGTGCTCTGCAAATAGTAGATGCTCAGTGGGTTGTGCCTTAAAGGTATTGGCAGAGGATCATCAAAGAGAGAGTCATGGGAAAATTAAATGGCTTTTTATTAAGGTTTTTCTCTTTTATGAGCATCTTATTGACATGCTTTATGCACAAAGTTGCGACAGGTTAAATCAACTTTAAAGCAAAATACTGAATAATCAACATGTGTCAACAACTTAAAATTCAAAATTAAGCATGCTGTGTCAACAAATGTTCTTAAAATGAAAAAAGCCTTACTTGGAAAAACAAATATTTTCCGTCCTCTAACGGTATCTAGCCTAGGAAGGAAATTAAATGCATCTGAAACTACTGTGTATGGCAACTTCGTGTTCTACTGCTGAATCTGGTTTTATGATAATACACTTAAATGATGTGGCTGAACACTGCATTTTTAAGACACTAATATAATGGACCATAGAGACCATCATCCAGCTCCCACCTTCCCAGTGTAAAGCTAGGCCCAGAGAAAAGGGTGTGCCAATACATAGGACCCAACCTCATTCTTAAAGTTCAATGTTATGACTTGTAACTGATCTTAGGGCTTAAGGTCACTAAGGTATCTAATGACTATATTTGGAATCATCCGAGACTATAGGATATAGATTTTAAGCCAAAGATTAAATGTATGTTTTAGGTCCCTCACTACTATGCCAAAGTTGTTTTTTATGTGTCACACAATCACAGTTCAACCTTGACCTCCCCGGCTCAGGAGATCCACCCCCATGCCCAGCTAATTTTTTTTTAGAGACAGTGTTTCCCCTTGTTGCCCAGGCTAGTCTTGAACTCCTGCACTCACTGAAGAAATCCACCTTGGCCTCCCAAAGTGCTGGAATTAGAGGCATGAGCCACTTTGCCTGGCCCCAAATTACCTTTTTTATGAAATATTTTTGTATGATCTCTAAGTTGAACTGTTCTGCATTCCAAATCAGTGACTGTGCCTGATCCCAAAAAACATTTATCAAAAACAAGTGTGGATTGGGTAGATGCATAAAAGGCACAAAAGATTAAAGGAAGAAAGGACTTTTGCTTCCAGGTAAGATAGAGTAACAGAGACTAGATTTAACCTCCCACTTGAAATAACTAAAAATCAGACTACCTCTCAAAATGGACATTGAGCAATTAAGGACAATGACATGTGAGAAACAAGACACAGATGAGTCCTTTGATTGCCTGACTCACTGCTTCGTAACAGATTCCAGTCAGGGAGGGAACATCTGGTTAGAGCCCATGGACATCCCTGAATTGAGATGGAACCTGAACGTTGAAGAAATCAAGGTACCTGGAATTTACAGAGCAGAAGACCAGAGAGGAGAGTGCTGCACAGAAACTCTGAAAAGCTGCAGAGGAGTCCCTACCAAGTGTTCAGTGTACTGAGCAGCATGTGCTTGTCAGGAAACTACCAGAAGACAGGCAACGAATCACTCAAACAAAAAGAAAGTGCCCAGAACTCACTGTGCCAGGAACAGTGCCTGGTCCTGGTCCCAACAGCCAGAGTGGAAAACCTCATGATCCATGGGCATTTGTAAAAGAACCAAGAAGAGCCTTGCCTCAGTAGTGGGGAAAATTAACTATACACTAAATGCTACTCTGGTCCTGCATAACAAAGGTAAAAGACATGAAAAGACCAAACTATAAACATGCTAACCACATGCCAGAACAAAGCTCAAGAATGATTTTAGAAATCCAAAATTATGCAGGACCTAAAAAGGTAAAATTCAGAATGTTCGGCATTCAAAAACAAATTATCAGAAATTCAAGAAGCAGGAAAATACAATCAAAACTGACCGTGAAATTACATACCATGGGAGTCAATTTTCATGATCTTGGATCAAACAATAGTTTCTTAAAGATATGATACCAAAGCACAAGCAATAAAAGAAAAAAAAGGCAAATTCGACTTAAAACCTTTACACTTCAAGACACCATCAAGAAGGTGAAAAGACAAGTCTGAGAGAAAATATTTCCTAATCATATTAGATAAAGGACTGATACCAGACTATTTAACTCTTAAAACTCAATATGAAGGTCAATAATCCAGTTGAAATAGGGGCAAAAGATAGGAATAGACATTTCACCAAAAGTTACATAAATGGCCTATAAGCACATGAAAAAAAGCTCGACGTTAGTCATTAGAGAAATGCAAATCAAAACTGCAGGGTACCACCGTACACACACTAGGACAGCTATACTCAAAAACAAGTCTTAGCTAGTATGTGAAGAAACTGGAATCTTTACATATTGCTGGAGGGAATGTAAAATGTATTCAGTTTGGAACTGTTTGGCAGTTCCTTGAAGTGTTAAAACAGATTGACATATGTTATGAACTGAATGTTTCCTGTCAAAATTCATATGTGGAAGCCCTAAAGCCAGTGTGGCTGTTACCTGGAGATGGACCTCTAAGGAAATCATTAAGGTTAAACCTTCATAAGGCTGGAGCTTTGATCTGATAAGATTAGTATCCTTAAAAGATACTTCAGCTCACATGTATGCTCTCCCGGCCACCCCACGGGCATGCACTGCAAAAAGGCCATGTGAGCACAAAAGAGATGGCAGCCACCTGTAATCCAAGAGAAGAGGCCTCAGAATGAAACCTGCCTTACCAATACCTTCATCTTCCAGCCTTCAGAACTGTGAGAAATACTACCTGTGGTTTTCTCTCATGGAGTTTTGCTCTTGTCACCCAGGCTGCAGTACAGTGGTGCAGTCTTGGCTCACTGTAACCTCTGCCTCCTGGGTTCAAGCAATTCTCCTGCCTGACCCTCCCAAGAAGCCGGGATTATAGGCACTCAGTATCATGAACAGCTAATTTTTTTTTTTTTTTTTTTGAGACAGAGTCTTGCTCTGTTGCCCAGGCTGGAGTGCCGTGGCGCAATCTCGGCTCACTGTAACCTCCACCTCCAGGGTTCAAGCGATTCTTCTGCCTCAGCCTCCTGAGTAGCTGGGACTACAGGTGCATGCCACCATGCCTAAGTTTTGTAATTTTGGTAGAGATGGGGTTTCAACATAGTGGCCAGGCTGGTCTCAAACTCCTGACCTCAAGATCTGCCCACCTCAGCCTCCCAAAGTGCTGGGATTATAGGCGTGAGCCACTGCTCCTGGCCTAACTTATTTTTTTAATTATTTTATTTTTTATTTTTTATTTTTTTAAGCAGAGACAGGTTTTCACCATGTTGGCCAGGCTGGTCTTGAACTCCTGATCTCAGGTGATCCATCTGCCGTGGCCTCTCCAAGTGCTGGGATTATAGGCGTGAGCCACCATGCCTGGCCTGCTTAAGCTACCTAGTATGTGTTATTTTGTTAGGGCAGCCCAAGCAAACTGTGACTCCAAAATTCTACCCCCTACAAGAAATAAAACCCGAGAGAAAGATACGTAAAGACTTGTACACAAATTTTCATAGCATTATTATTTAAAAAGAGGAAGCAACCCAGATGTCCATCAACTGGTGAGTGGATAAACAAAATGTCATGTGCCTGTACAATTGAATACTGGTTGGCAATAAAAAGTATGAAGTACTGATACATGCCACAGTATAGATGTACCTTGAAAACATGCTAAGTAAAAGCCAGGCACAAAATAGCACATGGTGTATGCTTTTTTTCTTTTTTTTTGAGATGGAGTCTAGCTCTGTCAGCCACACTGGAGTGCAGTGGCGTGATCTCACTGCGAGGTCCGCCTCCTGGGTTCACACCATTCTGCCTCAGCCTCCTGAGTAGCTGGGACTACAGGCGCCTGCCACCACACCTGGCTAATTTTGTGTGTTTTTAGTAGAGACGGGGTTTCACCGTGTTACCCAGGATGGTCTCGATCTCTCTGACCTCATGATCCACCCTCCTCGGCCTCCCAAAGTGCTGCGATTACAGACGTGAGCCACTGTGCCCAGCCGTATGAGTTATCTTATATGAAATGTCCAGAAAACACAAATCTATAGAGACAAACTCTAGATTAGTGGTGGCCTAAGGCTGGGAATAGTAATGGGGAGTGACTGGAAAGTTTCTTTTTTGGGTAATAAAAATGTTCCAAAATTAGATAGTGGAGATGATTGTACAATTCCGTTATACTAACAGTCGTGGAATTGTTCACCTATACAGGATGAATTTATGGTATACCAATTATACTTCAATAAAGCTTAAAAGATAATTTTGTATTGTGGAGTTTATAATAGATGGAGAATGTATGACGATAACAGCACAGACTGGGAGAAGAGGAATGGAAATATACTGCTGTAACATTCCTATGCCATACTTGGAATAATATATCATTTATCTTTTCACTCTGATATGTTAAAGATGTATACAGTCAGTCCTTTGTATCCACAGGTTCCACATCTGTGGATTTGACTGACCACAGATCAAACATATTTGGAAAAAAGCAAAAATTAAAATACAAAACACAAAAATTGATACAGTATAACAACTATTTACCAAGCATTTACACTGTATTTAAAGTATAAGTATTCTAGAGATGATTTCAAATATATGGGAGGATATGTGTAGGTTATATGCAAATGTAACACCATTTAATATGACTTGAACATATGCAGATTTTGGTACTCTTTGGCGAGGGGGTCCTG